TTCTTCTTTCCTTCCCCTTCCCTTTCTTCTTTCCTTCCCCTTCCCTTCCTTTCCTTTGCCTTTCCGTCCGTCCTTCCTTCCTTCCTTCCTTCCTTCCTTCCTTCCTTCCCACTTAGCAGTATCACTTAGACATATACCACTTCACAGTGCTTTACAGCCCTCTCTAAGCAGTTTACGCGGTCAGCCTATTGGCCCCAATCATCTGGGTTCTCATTTAACCGACCTCGGAAGGATGAAAGGCTGAGTCAACCTTGAGCGGGTGAGGATCGAACTCCTGGCAATGGGCAGAATTAGCCTGCTTCATTCTCACCACTGCGCCACCACAGCTCCAATGAACGTCAGAAGGAAGTAGAACCTAAAGCATTTTCATGCTGCACCTCACATATGCCACCAATGTTCCACCACCAGGAACACGATACCTTGGCGTGGGTGTAGGCATAACCATCCGGATTGGTGACGATCTCTAAGAAGATATCGAACTGGTTCATGATGGATGTGAGAGAAGGATCCTTCCCGACTTCTTCAAAGATCTAAAGAGGATCGAAATCAATTGAATGAAGCTGTTTACTGGCCAGATGCCTTTCCTGTTGCCAATGTGGAGTTTTGTTCAGCAGTTATAATCCCATTTTGCCCAGAGAGAGAAATATCTGCCTCTACCTAGGATCGAACACACAGCCTCCGGATTGTGAGGCAAGAGCTCAACCTCTAGGCCACAGCACCACTCTACATTGCATCCATCGAACTGCCTTAACAGTGCATTTATGGCAGTGGCCCCCAATCTTTTGGGCACCAGGGACCGCTTCCGTAGAGACAAGTTCTCCGCTAACCAGAGGGGGGCGTGGTTTCGCGTGCTGCCTGCATCCCACGGATGGGGCTTCGCTTGTTGGTACAGCCAAGTTTGTGGCATACCGTGGACCGGTACCTGTTCATGGACCAGGAATTGGGGACCCCCGATTTATGGGATCACTATGACAGGACACCCTTCACAAGCCAACATATTTTAGGACCTGGAGTGGGGGGAAAAAATCTAGAAAATATCAGATTGGCCATGGCTTTTATTTTATTTTTATTTTAGGACTAAATGGGGAACAGAAGCCATGAAATAGGGTAGGGGGCAGATGTGCTGGACCGTCCCCGTTTTTCCTGCATTTAGGGAAAATTACAGGAATATCATCATCGTTCTTTTAATGACCCTATAATTCTTTTGGGGGGGTGGAGCCTGGGCAACTGAATGAAGCTGAGTGTTTCCTGGCCAGACGCCTTTCCCTGTCGCCAGTGCAGAGTTTTGTTCGGCAGATACATTCTCATCGTGCTCAGAGAGAGAAATATCTGCCTCTACCTAGGATCGAACGGACCGCCTGCCGATTGTGAGGCCACCGCAGCACTTGGAAAATTACAGGACTATCTCTAAGAAAAAACAAGGTGGTATATAGATAGTCCTTCGGCTCACGATCACAATTGAGCCCCGAATTTCTGTCGCTAAGCAAGACATTTATGAAGCGAATTTTGTTCCATTTTGCAACCTTTCCTGTTGCAGTCGTTCTATGAAACACTGCAGTTGTTTTAAGTGAATAAGATGGGTGTTAAATGCTGCTCAGAAAGTAACAAGAAGTGATCCGGGACACTCATCGATAGGAATCAGTTGCCAAATGTCTGCATTTTA